AGTGTGACAGAGATGTGCATGCTGCGTTGGATGTGTGGGCATACTAGGAAGGACCGCGTGAGGAATGAGACAATCAGACAAAGGGTGGGAGTAGCACCTATTGAAGACAAGATGCGGGAGTCGCGCCTACGGTGGTGTGGTCATGTGCGTAGAAGACCGAGTGATGCACCTGTCAGACGAGTTGAGATGTGTGGAGAAGAGGCAGGGAAGAGAGGGAGATGAAGACTCAAACAGACGTGGGTTAGGGGAGTTCGAAGTGATATGCTTCTTCTGGGGTTGGATGAGGGCATGACTTTGGAGAGAACTAAGTGGAGTGCGGGTATTCGCGTGAAGGAGCGATCTCGTATCATCTTTTCCCTCATTTTCTTGGGAAATTCTTGGTGTACACCCTAGGTTACACCCTGGGTTACACCCCATTTATTTTCCATTCACACAGACAAAAATCGTACAAATACACACACTTTCGGTAAAACTGTCAGTGTGAATAAAATTAGTTTTTTGATCTGCCAGACTGGTTGCACGGAAACCAATGTCAGTGTACACAGACATTAGTTGTCCGTGTAGACAAAAAAGTGACGGTGTGAAAAAATTGGTTTGCAAGTGTCGGTGTACACAGACACTAGTTGTCTGTGTAGAAACCAAAGTGTCTATACATATGCAATTTTCGTCTGTGTACACAAACACTTAGAGCTGACCAGTGTCGGTGCGCATAAACGTAAAAAGAAAGAATTAAAGAAGAAGAAGATGATGATGAACAACAACAATGTTTCAAAGGAATCGTTTCTAAACTTAGCTAATAAAACGTAAAAAGAAAAGAAAAAGAGAGAATGGAAAAGAAGAACAGGATGAAGAAGAAGAAGAAGAAGAAGAAAGAAAGAAGATGATGATGATGAAGATGAAGATGATAAAGGTGAATCAAACGTAAAAAGAAAGAAAGAGAGAAGGAAAGAAAAAGAAGAAGATGAAGAAGAAAAGAGGAGAAAGGAAGAAAGAACAAGATGATGGAGAGGGGGGAGGGGGGTTCGTATGGCGCAAATTATACCGTATGACCGGTATACGGTGAGCACCTTATACCGGTATACGGACTTCTTTATTTTGTTCCTTTTGTTTTTAAAAAATGGTAATAACTTTTTTATTTTTGATCCGATTTTTATAAAGTTTATATCAACATTCTTTATTTTTCATGATCTTTCAAATGAGACCAATATTGCTTATGTAATTTTAAGAAATTATCGAACTATTATATTAATGAGTATTGGATTATAAGGAAAATCGAACTAAATTTAATACAGAAAAATAATTGTGTAAATCACAATTTATCTTAAAATTGTGTATATAAAATTTTTATTGTAATATGTATTCATACATGTGAGTTACATATTTTTATGCGTAAAGTTACATATTTTTACACGTAAAGTTACATATATATACACACGAGTTGCATTTGGCATGCCTGAACGCGAGTTACATATTTTTACACGTAAAGTTACATATTTTTACATGTAAAGTTACATATTTATACACGCGAGTTACATATTTATACACACGAGTTGCATTTGACTTGTCTGAACACGAGTTACATATTTTGTTACGTAAAGTTCAGGGGCGGATGTATGCTAGGCCAGGGGTGGGCTTCAGCCCAGCCCAATTTTTTTTAATAGTATTGGTACATTTTCAAATCTCAGCCCAACCTAAATTATTTGTCAGCCCACCCCACAAATAATTTGTGAATCAGTGAAGTTATGAACTTCTGCCGTGAATTTGTAAACTGTGATTAATCGATTGTGTATTAAACTATTAATGTATTAATTATTACTACCTCCGTCCCAAATTGATTTGCAAATTTGACTTTTCTTGGTCAAATAGTTTCATTTTATTTGCTTAATTAGGATGTCAATTTTTAATTATATTATAATTTGGAGTTTACAACTTTGAAGATATTTTAATGTAGTTTCTGAATATATAAATTTTAATTATTAAAAATTGAATTAATTATCGATAGGGAGCATTGATTTTTTTTATTGGTTGACCAAAAAATATTGACTTTGCAAAACAATTTGGGACGGAGGGAGTATTATTTTTAGCATTTTAGAGTTTTAGGGCTAGAGAATCATACAATCATTTTGATTATTAATTGAATTTTTCAGTACATAATTAAATAGTTTTATTTTTTTATATATAAGTATTTTAATATATACCAATATTGAAAATGTTTTTTAGAATGGATAATGAACATGTTGCCAAGAAGGGAAAGAAATTGATTTCATCATTCTTTTCGAAAGTGAATCGTCAAACTGGTGAAGGGAGTTCTGAACCTATACCTACAACAATGTAAGATCTAGTCAATGAGGATCCTCCACATGCTGTAGTCCCTGAAATCCAAACTATCTCAAATTTGGATTTCAATGCTCAATAGACATGCTCGAATGTAGAAGTTTAGACTATTCTCGTTAATAGATTCATGTTCAAATTATTCAAGAAGTATTCAAATTTTTATTAATCATTAATAAATTTATAAAAATTGCACTAAAACGTTTATATTTTATGATATGTACAATAGTATAATTTATATGTGAACGATAGGCTCGTGTTCGGATCGAAACATCACTATGTTCGATCTCGGCTTGAATAATTATTCAAACTCAAAACCTACTCCGTGTTCGAGTTCGAAATTTTTTAAACTCAATTCATTAAATTAGATTCGAAATCAAGCTCGAACTCGAGTATATAATTTAAAAAAATCTTTGTTCGATAACAACCCTGGACTAAATTTGGTATGTATAGTAAAAAAAATTAATGCTGCTTAGCCCACCCCATCTCTCGATCCTGGATCCACCCCTGGTAAAGTTACATATTTTTACACGTAGAGTTACATATTCGTACACACGAGTTGCATTTGGCCTGACTGGACGTGAGTTACATATTTCTACACGTAAAATTACATAGGTTAATATAATAGTTCGATAATATGTTAAAATTACATAGGCAATATTGGTCTCATCTGAAAGATCATGAAAAATAAAAAATGTTGATATAAATTTTATAAAAATCGGATCAAAAATAGAAAAGTTATTACCATTTAAAAAAAAAAAGAAATAAAAAATAATACTCTCCATCTCAAACCGTATGCCGATATACGATGCTCACCGTATACCAGTCATACGGTATGACAACTGTTCGTCAGAGAAGAGAGTGGGGAGGGAGGGGAGAGAAAAAAGTGGGAAGAAAGGAGATAAAAAATGGGGAGGAAGGTTATACATCATAGGGTGTACCCTAGGTGTAACTCAGGGTGTACCTAAAAATTTTTTCCATCTTTTTTCCCCTTATTTTTTATCTTTATATATATATAAACATTATTTGTATCCTTTTCATTTTATCATTTTTATGTATATATATATATCTTTTTATATTATCTTTTTATAATAGCTTATCTTTTTTATCTTCATTTTCTTTCTTTTCCTTTTGGTTGTGATATCATGTATCGATTCATGTTAGCAGACCCAATATCTTTTGGGATTAAGGTTTATGTTGTCCCGTTGTATATTATTTGAATTGGTTTACCAACCAAGGGGAGATGAGAAAGGTCTTGCTCTCAATGATTCTTCCTACCTTCACGAAGTTGCTCAGCGGCTGAGAAAGGAGAGGATGATAATGAAGGTAAGTGAAGTCTCGACACTTCTATTATAAAAAAAACTTACGATTAGCGGAAGCTGACTTTGAAGACATCATGCAAATACACAGTTGTACGCAACCTAGTTTCGGGGAATAATTTGGAATCACCCAATCAGGCACTCAGTCATTATCTGTCGGTGCCCAAGTCCCTTTCTCCACCAAAAATTTGCATTTCTATAATTCTTAAAATATCACATAAATAAATGGAATAAAACAATATCGAAGCCCAACAATATAGAAGCAGAACTACATAAAACCAGGTTTCGGGAAATAATCTTACCGCCGTGGTGTATTAGTAGTGTATAGTCCATTTGTACATGTTCTCATTTTGTACACAAGCAATTGACGATATAACATGTGCATAGAGATGTAAGGTAAATGAAAAAGTAGGAACTAGAAAAGAAATATATGGAGAGGAGTAAAATAATACAGAGCAATAAAGTATGAGAGAGAAAGTAGTATGCAAGTTCATCCCAAATTACACAAGGGCTTTATGTTAATTACGTTAACTAGGTCTTATGTAGTAAAGAAGTTGCACAATTGTAATCAACAATTGCATTTTAATTACATATAAATATTACTCTCTCCGTCCCAAATTATTTTGCAAAGTCAACTTTTTTGATCAACCCACAATAAAAGTCAACCCTCTCAATTGATAATTAATTAAATTTTTACTAATTAAAATTTATATATTCAAAAACTACATCAAAATCTCTTTAAAGTTGAAAACTTCAAATTAGAATATAATTAAAAATTGGCATCCTAATTAATCAAATAAAACGATGCTACATCCTAATTAATTAAATTTTTACTAATGAAATTGGCATCCTAATTAATTAAATTTTTACTAATTAAAATTTATATATTCAAAAACTACATCAAAATCTCTTTAAAGTTAAAAACTTCAAATTAGAATATAATTAAAAATTGGCATCCTAATAAAATTTATATATTCAAAAACTACATCAAAGTTGAAAACTTCAAATTAGAATATAATTAAAAATTAGCATCCTAATTAATCAAATAAAACGAAGCTGTTCGACAAACAAAAGTCAAATTTGCAAATCAATTTGGGACGAAAGTAGTACTATTTAATGTTTGTATATTATATTTAAGACTTTGCTCCTTCTCAGAAGTCTTGTGTGGTAACACTTCTTGCACGCTCTCATATGCCTAACACTTCCCCAATAAAACAATAACATATGGAAAAACAATTTTATTACTTGCATTCACTTTTTATACCTATCTTTATACCCAAAAACTATTTTTTATTTATAAATCTCGTTGATAGACAAAAATTGAATTAGAATTTTTCTCGACAAAAATACGTACAATAAAAAACAGCAAGTGTCATTACAGGCTTCACAGCTCATCAAATCCAGCCATTAATTAACATTTTACGGAGTATTATTATTGTCCACTGCTTCATCACTTCTTCCTCTCATCCTTGTTCCTCTTCTCTCTACTGTTTCTCTCTCCTCTAGTCCAGAGTAGTCTTAGCTGAAAATAGCTTAGACTTCAGAAATTGCATACCAGCGGAAACCAGATCCTCATTGCGGACTCCAGGCTCACTCTGAATTTTTGTGGGTGGTGGGTAACCGACACAAGAGGAAGGGAGAAACATCAAAATGTACGGTAGAGATCCGTGGGGTGGTCCGTTGGAAATCAACGCCGACTCAGCTACGGATGACGAGCGGAGTCGGAATTTACAGGACGTGGACAGGGCGGCGGTGTCGCGGTCGCTAGACGAGACGCAGCAGAGCTGGCTGCTCGGTCCTACGGAACAGAAGAAGAAGAAGAAGTACGTGGATCTGGGGTGCATAATTGTGAGCAGGAAGGTGTTTAAGTGGACAGTGCTGAGCATCTTAGCTGCCGGCCTTTTGGCCGGCTTTATCACCTTGATTGTCAAACTTGTGCCCCGCCACCATCCCCACCCCCCACCTCCCGATAACTACACCCTCGCTCTCCACAAGGCGCTCATGTTCTTCAATGCTCAGCGTTGTAAGTGTGTCGGTGCCTTTAGTATGCAGAATTGGTTTGTTCATATATCGTTAATGACTTGGTGCTTTGTATTTGAGTACACACATGTTTGTCTTTATATCTCCACATCATTAATGGCTAAGTGAATGAATGATCTAGATGTTCATTGAATTAAATTAAATTAAATCAAATTTATTCATTTATATTTAGTTTTGGACCGATGAATACTCTGAATATATGAATGCTTTGTTTATCTATAACTAAGTGCAGGTCTGTAGGAATATCTTGGTGAATGTATGATGTTTGATTGATCTAACTTAGGTGGCGACTTCTTTGCAGAGACCTTCCGATCTAAGATCTGTTGGCCAAGATGTCCCGATCTGACCTTTTAACCCCACATTTTTTTGCGGAAGGACATACTTTAACCCACCATCTAATGAGGGTCGTCCAATCTTAGATCGGATGGCTGGCGGTGACATGCACCCTGCCTAGCCAACCTAAAAAATAATGGGCTTGCCGATGGAGAGATTTTTTTCATATTCTTTTGTGCAATATTTTTGACACACAAAATAAAAGCTTTTCCAAACTTGAGGTAGGCCAAGGTGCGGGCCCCGCTACGCCCTTGGATCCAAATCCATTTTTATACTTGGTTAGTTGGTTTTAGGATGAATTCAACAATGGCCATCTTTTACAGGAGTGTGATTGATAGTTTCTTTAGATGGAAGTCAAATTTCAGGGGACCATTATTGAATACTCTATTAACACAATGTTGCTTCTTTGATGTGACTGGCTTCTCCTCCCATGCTACTCTTTGTTCTAATCTACTTAGTTATTAGATCTTGACTATGCAGTAACGATTCCCAATATCACTGATTTCAGCTGGAAAACTACCAAAGCACAATAATGTATCATGGAGAGGCAATTCATGTATGCAAGATGGCAAGTCAGAAGATAGTGCATCACCATTTAAGGATTTGGTTGGTGGCTACTATGATGCTGGAGATGCAATCAAGTTTAATTTCCCTCAATCTTTTGCCATGACCATGTTGAGTTGGAGTGTAATCGAATACAAAGCAAAGTATGAAGCTGCTGGTGAGCTGAACCATGTTAAAGAAATTATCAAGTGGGGTACTGATTATCTACTCAAAACCTTCAATTCTTCAGCCGATACTATTGATCGGGTGGTAGCTCAGGTAAATGTCGTTTGCCGTTTTTATTACTATATATAATGTGATTGCAATTGCAATTTTGGTGCACTAAAATATAGTGTTTGTATTCATTGTTAGATATTCGTTTCCCTTGTCAATGTTCATTCTCTCTGTACTATCTGCTTTTATTCTATTACAGTTAAAATTACTTAACTAAATCTCTGGGCATCTTAAGCCTATCATCAAAACACTAAAGTGGTGTAATGTTTTGCTGCAGAAAAGCTCCAAGCAAGACACCATGAGAGCAACATATGTACAAAATAACAGTAATGCACCAAATGTTTTTTTTAATAACACTACTCAACGAGTGTTAATATGGTAGAACATTTTAATTTACATAAACCCATTCTTCTTTTCTTAGTTTGTTACCATTACCTTTGTTAATTATTTAAAAGTAGAACATATGTAACTATGACTTATGAATATAATAGTAGTATATCATTAGAGAACTCGTGCTCTGATCTTCAAAATGGTACTAATAATGAATATTTGAACAGATTATTAAATGCCCCATTCATCCCATTGTACATACGTTCTTCGATTTTAGACAGTGCGTAAGAAAATGAAATTGTGTAGATATTTATTTTTAAAGGAAAGAACTAATTTTAACCATACTGTTTTTTTTCTTTAAAAGAAATAGGAACATCACTTAGGATTTAGGACCTGACTAAAATAAAAGGGTACAAAGAAAGTGCTTCTTCTTATTTATGTTTTAAATAATTCTTAAATTAGTCATAACTCATAAGAGTTATATGTCTGCACAATACGTAGTTGCAGAATATCTTATACGGAGTATGAAATATACTCTAGCCAAAATAAAATCCAATTTAATTTTGTTGTGGTCAGTAGCTATTCAGATTCTAGAATATTACCATATGATGCTTTTTACGCTAAATCGGTGGAGTGGTATGGAGTGGGGATATTCTTTTTTCACTCCAAAATCATGTAAGAAAATATGTGCAAAGGTTTATAGATGGCCCTAGTTCTGTAAGCTCTACAGTGACATGGTCGATGATTACTCTCACGGATTCTCTGGCCTGTCACTGGTTCCATTACTTTAACACTTCTAAGTTACTCTTTATGAGAATCTTATCAAAGGATTCCTACATTTATCTGTTAGGTCGGATCTGGGGATACTTCAGGAGGGAGTACAACATCAAATGATCATTATTGTTGGATGCGGCCCGAAGACATTGACTATGATCGTCCTGTGACCGTCTGCCACAGTTGCTCTGATCTTGCGGCGGATATGGCTGCTGCTCTTGCATCTGCATCTATTGTATTCAAGGACAACAGAGCTTACTCACAGAAACTTGTTCATGGTGCTCGGACTCTCTTCCAGTTTTCTAGGGACCAACGTGGCAGGTACAGTGTTGGAAATGAAGCATCAATTTTCTATAATTCCACCAGCTACTGGGATGAATTTCTCTGGGGATCAACCTGGCTGTATTATGCTACTGGAAATTCTTCCTATCTTCAACTTGCAACACATCCAAAACTAGCTAGGCATGCAGGTGCTTTTTGGGGTGGAAAATATTATGGTGTTATGAGTTGGGATAGCAAGCTTGCTGGAGCTCAAGTAAGTAGATGAATCTTATTTTTCTTTCCTTCTCATGTCATTCTCAAAACTTTTTGTGTTTCAAATCTCTTTGATGCAGTCCTAGCTACATAAACGCTAAAAATCATGTCATATATCCGCACATTTCATTGTAGAAAGACAATCATGCCAAAATGGTTTCAAAGATGTAAAAATCAATTCTCAGATAATATTGTTGCCCAAAACAGGCTCGGCCGGACGGCGGTTCCCGTCAGGCCGGGCTGACATGAAGACTACTCTTGGAATGTTATGCTTATTTTTATGCTTGAAAGGGAGCCTTGGCGCACCGCTTACGGTGTTGCCTCTTATACAACTGTGTGGCAGGACCCTTCCCCAGACCCCCCCCCCCCCCCCCCCCCCCGCCTTGCAGGGACGCCAATGTGCACCAGGCTGCCCTGTTTTTGTGCTTTTTAAGTATCATCATCATTGACTTATTATGAAGATTAAATACTTAAAACATTAACCTGATACTAAATATAATATCTATTAATAATTTTTCCCAAATAGAAGTAAAAATAACGTTGTTTCCTAAATATGAGTACCATGCTTTCCCTATGTAGGAGTTAATTAATTGCTTTCTGAAATCCTACTCTCATATTTTGACATTTTACTCCTACAGTGCAATATCTATTTTAAATATGTAGAAAAGGTGACAATCTAACCCGTGGCTGGTTCGTTTTCTCCTTTTTTAAGCGTAGCATTCCAGACCGTCTTCTGCTTGAGAATGGCAGATTATTTATTTTCTTACCTAAGAACTTGAGACCAACAATACAACTGAAGTTATGACTCAATTGACACAAAGGTTTTCTGCCTCATTATGACTGATGTTATGTTCTTTTTTTTGTTTTATAGATCCTTCTGAGTCGTATGCGGTTATTTTTGAGTCCTGGATATCCGTATGAAGAAATTCTGAGTACATTCCACAACCAGACAAGCATAGTCATGTGCTCCTATTTGCCATATTTTAACTCTTTTAACAGAACCAAAGGTAACTTGATCTAACATATGTACTTCGTCTAAAGTTCATGCATGATCAACCCTTATTTTGGACATGCAACGAGTTTTAAATTTTATGGGGTGGATGCAGGAGGCTTGATACAGCTTAACTATGGGGCTCCTCAACCTCTTCAGTATGTAGTAAATGCAGCATATTTAGCTACCTTGTTTGCTGATTACCTTGAGGCTGCCGATACTCCTGGATGGTACTGTGGACCCAATTTCTACTCCATTGATGTCCTGCGTAAATTTGCTCAAACACAGGTAATGGTATTACATTCTGAGCTCTAATTCAAAGTTTTTGATTATGATAACTTAATTTAAAGGCATGTTTAGAACTCATAAATTTCTAGGGAAATAATATAGGGAGAAAATTATAGCATATAAATACCAAAAAAATATAATCATATGTAAAAAGTAGAAACATTAATCATATTTCATATTCCCTTGTTAATCCTGAGGTAAAACCTTACATAAGAAAATAACTATCCTTCAATTTTTTGTGTGATCCAAACATAGCCGTACTGAGAGTGTTATGGAATGAATAAAATCACCCACATTTACCCCTCAAGTGAATAAGTGGTGGTGGCTCTCATGCCATCACCCGAAACGAATATGCATTATTGTTGATGATACCTGGTTATTGAGTTAAAAGAAAAAAAGTACCAGAATGAATTATATAGGGAAAAGGTCACTTTGTTGCATGATGCAGGTGACCTGCTCACTAGATAAAACTTCTCCATGTCCTGATTAGGGGTCGACCCAATCACATACCTGGTTATTGAGTTAAAAGAAAAAAAGTACCAGAATGAATTATATAGGGAAAAGGTCACTTGTTGCATGATGCAGGTGACCTGCTCACTAGATAAAACTTCTCCATGTCCTGATTAGGGGTCGACCCAATCACATTTCTGAATTTCAGGCATTCAGTTATTTGACCTGTGATCGAATTGAGTGTCTGGTTCCAAACCGGAACCGACCCAAGCCGCTGTTTCTGTACTCTATCAGCTGGTTCCTGTTCTTTTTTGAAAGGTTACCAAAGTGGGCAAGAACCAAATTGTTAGGCTATTTTAGTCCCAGATCAAACAGGATTACACATCATCAAACTTATAATTGCAAAACACACATAATATAAGACCAGATCTGAGCAGTTTGAACTGTGAACCAACTGGTTCAGATCAAACTGAATTAGACTAAAAAATTTCAGTCCAATCAAATGGAACCTAACTGGATTCTAAACTACTGGTTCTACTTCTACTTACCCGAAATTGGACCTGTATAACGGACTTCGATTCATACATAAAGTGGGGCCTCAAATTGATTGAAGTTGTTCTTGCCCATCTCTATCTTGATGTATTCAGTGTTAAAATTGTATCTAACCTGTTTGTTGATTTACACGACTTCTCAGATCGAGTATATCCTTGGGAAGAACCCGAAAAAGATGAGCTACATTGTTGGATTTGGCAACCACTACCCAAAACATGTTCACCATCGCGGTGCATCAATACCTAAGAACAAGATCAAGTACAATTGTAAAGGAGGATGGAAATGGAGGAATTCAAAGCAGCCAAATCCTAATATCGTCGTTGGTGCCATGGTCGCCGGTCCAGACAAACATGATGGTTTCCAGGATGTCCGCACCAATTACAATTACACAGAGCCCACAATAGCAGGCAATGCGGGTTTAGTGGCTGCCCTTGTTGCTTTATCTGGTGGGAAAAGTGTTGGAATTGATAAAAACACAATGTTTTCTGCGGTGCCTCCAATGTTCCCCACCCCGCCCCCTCCGCCAGCGCCTTGGAGGCCTTGAACAGCCATCCTTGGTTTACATCAATGTCTCCTCTTTTCATATCTCTTCTGCATATTGACCTTTTTTGTTATCACTATTATAGTGTTATATGATTGATTGATTGATACTGGAATTCGACTCCATTGCATTTCAACAGCCAGTACCAAATGTCGATTGTATATTGGGTGCATTTGAGTGCCCCAATCATGTTGTATACAGGTATATCTATGTATATTACAGTTAAGTGATTTTTTTTGACACGTTATTGTAATTCAAAGTGTGACACTCAGTTCATAAATTATCATTGCAGCAACATGGCGTGTTTACCAGTTGTGGATACCGAATTTTCATCAACCTTTATACGAAAAACTCTTGATTGATGTCAGAGTGTCAGACAGTCAGAGTATGTTTCATCAAAATAAGATATTACATGAAGAATAGTGTACATGAAATCCGGGTCCAATCCCATATTTCTATACCCGGATCATCTTAACCATTCCTTGAGCTGCACCCTTATTTCTTGTCCAAAGTTTATAATCATTCATTAAGAAAAGTAGGGTTGGACTCGGGTCCGGGCCGGGTCCGGGTCGGGCCTAGGCCCGGGCGGGCCGGCGGGTCAGAAATGGTGGACCTGGGACCGGCCCGGGTAACCACCGGGTCCGGGCCGGGCCCATTATAATTTTTTTTTGTTTTCCTCTTCCTAAGTAACCCCCTCCCACCCCCAACCCCCAAACCACCCCAAATGTCCCAAAATACCCAGCCCAACCCAAAACTTTAAAAAAAATTGCAAAAAAAAAAAAAATTGTTTTTGGCCCGAACCGGGCCCCGGCCCGGCCGGGTCGGGCCTTGTTTTGGGTGACCCGAGCCCGGACCGGAAAACCCACGGGCCGGGCCTACCCGGACCGGTCACTGACCGGGCCACCGGGTCGGGCCGGGCCGGAACAGTACCGGTCCCGGGCCGGTTCCGGGTCGGGCCACCCGGCCCGAGTCCATACCTAAAGAAAAGTCAAATTAACCGAACAAAATTATGGGGTGGGGTGGAGGAAGCGTATCTATACTCTAGACTACGGTACTTACGAGATATGTACTGTGTTTGAAAACAAATGTTTGAACCAAGATTATTACTTTGGAAAGCGTAGAATCATCTTTGGCACCCTAATATTGATAAGGATGAACTTGGCGCACCTCAAAATGTGCTGGGGCACCTCACTTCCGTATTATTTCTTTGACCATGCTTTTCTAACTTTATTATTATGAACTCCCTATTACATGGTTTGCTTTTTGTTTATTCCAAAAAGTAGACATGTTTGGTGGAATGCTCTCCATTGATTTTTTGACAGATTTTAGGAGTCCGTTTGGTAATGCTAAAATTAGCTGAATCGGTTGATCAAAATTTTTCGAAATTGTGGCTCGATTGGCTAATTCTGCCGATTTATGAAAAACAATATATTTAAAATATGTTTTATGAATAAAATAAATAAAAATTATATGAAAAATAGATAAAATGATCTTCTAAAGTAATTTCAACCAATATAGCTGAAAAAATAACTCTAATCTTACTTTTTCTTATTATTACACAATTCAACGCGCGAAATCAAAAGTTACCTTTTGTATTATCTAACTTTGATTTACTTTTCCCTTTTTGAAACTTTAGACAAATTTAAAGTAACTTTACATAATTATATTCAATTTTTCTTGTTGAAAAGATTTTAACTACTTCAATATAATTACTCTTTCCGACCAAGCTTTAAGATCTTCAATTCATTTGGCTTTTTTGAACGCTTAAGTTACGCTAAAGCTTCCCATTTTATGTTAGGGAATAATTATATTGTGAAGGTTGAAGCCTAAAATTTGGAAAATCCTCAAGAACAAAAAGGTTGAAGGATGATTTTAATTTATAAGTTATAACTATACCAGAATCATAAAATGTTAAAAGAATGAATAACTCCCTATTACTTTACTGGTGTAGGGATAATATGTGGATCGATATTGCATTCAATAACTGCTACATCTGTGTGAAGATAATTGAATAAAATTGTATATTGATAGAGTACATATACTTGGTCATTTCGTTAGTCATGCTGTTAGTCAACGATCAGTTAGTTGCTAGCATTGACCAATAAAAGAGAATGTTAACTAGCTATTGTATAAATACATTTGTGATACTCGAATAAAGTCAGTTCGTTTTTCTTCATCTCTTTCTTCTTCTAAGCAATTCCACATGGTATCAGAGTGGCTAAACAGCCAAATCCACCATTAATACACCTTCGAAAAACTTCGAGATCTTCAACATGCCAAACAGTTCAGCGGTGAATCAATCCTTTATAGCGAACTCTAGTGGTTCCTGTTGGAAGTATGCCCTAGGACAATCATACTTTATGATTTATCAATGAATATTTAATGCTCATTAATTAATAAAGTCACAAACTCATTTTATGTTAATTATTATTGTGAGTTTTCTTTATTAATATTTAGTCCCTGAATATTATGTTTAGTAGCTAATTAAGTACGTGACTTAATTTTGGAATGCTACACTTTAAAATAAGCACAATATTCTATTTGTCCATGGTCTAATATTATTAATCTGGGACATTAATAATTAATAGACCATTATGTGGATTAACTGATGGCTATATTCCACTAGTCATGGGTATAGAGATATCAAGTTAATAACATAGATGCTTGTTAGTGAACAAGTTCATTGGACAGGCCCAACTTGAGGACACTGCTAGGTTATATGTCATCATTGTTGTCCTCAATAATGATGAGGTGCTATATTCTTATACTTGAGATAATCATGGTTACTTGCATGCGAATTAATATGTATTAACACCATTAAATATTATTTTTAAATGGGTAATTATAAAGGTGGTGATTGTACATATTATGAACGATGTAGTGGTATGTGAATTATCAAGATAGTTTTTGTCACTCTCGTATAGCGAGAGAAAGATATCTATTGGACCCCTTGACAAGTAAGATTAATTAGCATGGCCATGCTCAAATGAGTTTTCATTTGTTCAAAATTAATCTTACTTGGTAATCAAGAAATATTAATTGAGAATAACAAGGATGACATGACCTAACCTTGTCTCAATTAAGATATCGTTTGACAAAAGAGAATTATTAGCATAAATTAATCATTAAAAGGTTATGTCAGATTTAATTGACATTTATATATTTTGGATAGTCATAATGCCTTGCTAGAGGCCGCTTATGATTTGTGAGGCTTGAATTAATTTTTTAGTCCACTGCCAATAATATATAAACCTACAGGGTCACACACCTAAGTGATTTGGATCATTAATGTTCGTTAATAACATTAAAATAGCCTGATTAGCCCAATTCGAAATAGGGGTTCGAATGGTATTGGGCTAGGGCATCTTGGAGGGTTTTATTAGCTATAAAACTCCTTCTTTCCTCCTCTTATAAATAGGGCTATATAGACCCACGAATTTTAAGAGTTAAAATTCACTTCTAAAACCTAGAGTAGAGAGGAAGAAAGAAGAGAACGCTAGCACGTTCCTTGTGGCCGATCCAATCACGTGCGTGTGGATACCGGTAGAGCTCGGGATCGTTTTCTCGGACTGCCTGACATCCTTGATTAAGATTGCTATGTAAGTCCCTCTTATATCTTGTAATTTCGTTTATAGTAAGAACCTCAGATCCGGTTGTTTACTTTTGGACAGTATTTTTTTTTTGTTTATTCCGCTGCGTTTTTCTGCCCGAAAACCAACAGTGGTATCAGAGCCTACGGTTCTTTATTATATTCGGGTTACCTGATTTAATATAAAATCAGTAATTTGATTATTTTGGGATTTTTCGGAATTAATTTTTATTAATTTCGGAATTAGTTTTTTTTATTAATTTCGGAATTTATGTGTATTTATATTCCGAATTTTTTTGGTAAGGATGTGATATTCGAATATTTCGAATTTGATCCAATATATATTCACAATTATGTTAAGAATATTTTATGATATTATTTATTATTTTTCGGATCAGATCTGAATGGAATTAGGAATTGGATAAAATCCTACATCCTAATTATTCGGAAGAGATCTGAATGGACATGAAAATTCAATAGTTTGAATTGGATCCGAATTGATACTCATAATTTATGTTAAGAATATTTTATGATATTATTTATTATTTTTCGGATCAGATCTGAATGAACTTAGGAATTGGATAAAATCCTACAGGCTAATTAATCGGAAGAGATCTGAATGGACATGAAAGTTCAATAGTTTGAATTGGATCCGAATTGATACTCATAATTTATGTTAAGAATATTTTATGATATTATTTATTATTTTTCGGATCAGATCTGAATGGAATTAGGAATTGGATAAAATCCTACTGCCTAATTATTCGGAACAGATCTGAGTGGATATAAAAAAAAATTCAGTTTTTTTTAATCAGATCTGGTTCAGAATATTATTTTAATTTTAGGAGATTTGGTTTCTAATTTTTCGGATGAGATCCGAATTATTTTGGCAACCGCCGGCTAATGAGTTGTTTTTATGGATTAGACAATCTTGTTTTGGCCGTAACTTTTGACTCGTTAATCCGTTTCCGACCCATAAGTACTTTTCGGAAACGGGAAGACGAGCTCTACACAAATCAAGGCAAAGCCGTGACAAATCTCCCATATTATAATTCGAATGATTTGATCAAGTGTTCTGCCAAATTCGAATTTAAGTTCATTATATTTTATTCGTATTTATATATGTGTACTGATCTATATTACGGATATGATCTGTACATGTGTATATATAATATGAATCATTTTAGAATTCATTAATATGTATGTTTATTTTTCGGATGAGATCCAAATTAATTACATATTACTTGCGGATTTTAAAATTTAATTTTCAATCCGTGCATGCGCAATTATTTTGTTTCGTCACAGGACAGATTGAATTGGTGGTATAGCATGATCCGAATGTATGTTTTATATTATGTTGTTTTACGGCCTGCGTGTCGTTATTCCGAATATCCCCTGTAATGTTTTCAACCCCGTAGATATTTAGTAGTCTACTGCACAGGTTGAAGATGCCAAGGAGATATGAAGTATTAGGGGTCATGCTATATCACTACACTAGTTTTAAATTATTTATTTAAATTTATGATTGCTGCATGTGTTTAATAATTAGTCCCTATTAATTATAAGTCTACTGATGTGATCCTCGCATCACTCACCCCGGCATATGACCAGTTCATCCTGAACTATAATATGCATGGTCTTGAGAAGACCTTAACCGAATTGCATGGAATGCTGAACTCCGCTGAGCAAAACATCAAGAAAAATCGGAGTGACGTTTTGATGATCAAAAAGAAAAAGGGATTCAAGAAGCCTGGAAAAGGCAAGGTTGGTGGAAACAAGAAATCCAAAACTCTGGTTAAGAACTCGGGTAAAGGCAAATCTGTTGCCAGCTCTAATTCTAAAGAAGAGCAAAAATGTTTCCACTGCAACAAAACCGGTCATTGGAAGCGGAATTGCAAGGCGTATTTGGAAGAACTGAAAAGAAAGGGGCATGGTGATGCTTCCAATTCAGGTATCTATGTGATAGAAGTAAATGTTACTACTACTACTTCATGGGTATTAGATACCGGTTGTGGTTCTCACATTTGTTCAAATGTACAGGGACTGACAAGGAGTAGAAGGATGGCTAAAGGTGAAGTTGACCTACGAGTAGGCAACGGTGCAAAAGTTGCAGCATTAGCAATAGGAACATTTACTTTAAGTTTGCCCACGAGCTTAGTTTTAGAACTTGATAATTGTTATCATGTACCTGCCATTAGTAGGAATATAATTTCTATTTCTTGTTTGGACAAGAAAAGATTTCATTTTATAATAAAGGACAACACTTGTTCTATTTATTTTAATGAGATCTTTTATGGTAGTGCTAGTCTTATAAATGGACTTTATGTTCTAGACAAGAACATAAATACAGGTTTAAATCTCTTTCTATCTTCTTTAGAATTAGAACTGGTCTCTGATGGGTTGTAAAAGTAATATCCTTTTGTTTCCTTAGGATAACCCACAAATAAACACTTATCTGATTTGGGTTCAAGCTTATTTGAAAGTAAACGTTTTACATAAACTTGACACCCCCAAATCTTCACAAAGGTTAGACTAAGAACTTTTCCTGTCCATATCTCATATGGTGTCCTTTCTGTAGCCTTTGTTGGAGCCCTATTGAGTATGAATGCAGCGGTTTCAAGAGCATAACCCATCTATGTACCTGCCATGCCCCTTTCTTTTCAGTTTTAGAACTTGATAATTGTTATCATGTACCTGCCATTATGTTCTATTTCCCATCTATCACATAAATACAAAAAGGTTTAAATCTAACGACTCAAACCCAACATACCTTTGGCATTGTAGACTGAGCCATATAAATGAGAAGCGCGTTAAAAGACTCCATTCTAGTGGATTTCTTAACTCTTTTGATTTTGAATGAATCGAGGAGTGTGAATCTTGTTTATTAGGTAAAATGGCCAAGTCACCATTTACTGGTAAAGGTGAAAGAGCTCACGGTTTATTGGACCTCATACACTCGGATGTATGTGGCCCAATGTCAACAATGGCCAGGGGAGGTTTTCAGTACTTCATAACATTCACTGATGACTTCAGTAGGTTTGGTTATGTGTACCTAATGAAGCATAAACATGAAGCTTTTGAAAAGTTCAAAGAATTCCAGAATGAAGTTTAGAATCAACTTGGCAAAACAATAAAGGTCATTCGATCAGATCGAGGTGGTGAATATTTGAGTCAGGAATTTAGTGATCATCTCAGAGGTTGTGGAATTGTTTCAAAACTCACTCCGCCAGGTACACCACAATGGAATGGTGTGTCCGAACGGAGAAATGGGACCTTGTTAGACATGGTTCGTTCCATGATGAGTCTCGCTGAACTACCAATCTCTTTCTGAGGTTATGCTCTTGAAACCGATGCATTCATACTCAATAGGGCTCCAACAAAGGCTACAGAAAGGACACCATATGAGATATGGACAGGAAAAGTTCCTAGTCTAACCTTTGTAAAGATTTGGGGGTGTCAAGTTTATGTAAAACGTTTACTTTCAAATAAGCTTGAACCCAAATCAGATAAGTGTTTATTTGTGGGTTATCCTAAGGAAACAAAAGGATATTACTTTTACAACCCATCAGAGAACAAAGTGTTTGTTGCTCGTAATGGTATTTTCTTAGAAAGAGAATTTCTTTCTAAAAGAACCAGTGGGAGTAAAATACAGCTTGAAGAATTTCAAGAAGTTCTAGATAGTCAGACTATGCAAGCAGTCCCACAATCTCAGCCACAAGTTGTTGTGGATACACCTGAGGTAGCACTCGCTCTAAGGAGGTCATCTAGGGTACGTAACGAGCCAGTTAGATACATGTTTATCTTAACTGAGCATCGTGACGTATTATTAATAGACGAAGATGAACCTTTGACCTACCAAGAAGCAATATCAAGCCCTCACTCCGATAAATGGCTAGAAGCCATGAAATCCGAAATGAGATCCATGGTCGACAATCAAGTCTGGGACTTAGTTGATCTACCTGATGGTTGTAGAACCATTGGGTGCAAATGGATCTACAAAAAGAAATTAGACAAAGATGGCAATGTAGATGTCTATAAAGCACGTTTAGTGGCGAAAGGTTACAAACAAATTCATGGTATAGACTATGATGAAACATTCTCGCCAGTTGCCATGCTTAAATCAATTCGGATTCTCTTAGCAATTGCCGCTCATTTTGATTATGAGATTTGGCAAATGGATGTCAAAACTGCTTTCCTAAATGGAAATCTAGATGAGGACGTGTATATGATACAACCTGAGGGTTTTGAACATCCAATCAATGCTGGGAAGGTATGCAAGCTCAAAAGATCAATATATGATCTCAAGCAAGCATCTCGGAGTTGGAATCTTCGTTTTGATGCTGCAATCAAAGAGTTTGGTTTCAATCAAAACGAAGAGGAACCTTGTGTTTACAAGAAATTGAGTGGAAGTGCAATCACTTTCCTAGTCCTATATGTAGATGACATACTTCTCATTGGGAATGATGTTCCGATGCTTTCGTCTGTAAAGGCTTGGCTTGGAAAGTGTTTCTCAATGAAAGACTTGGGTGATGCATCCTATGTGTTAGGCATCAAGATCTATAGAGATAGATCTAGAAAGCTAATAGGACTAAGTCAAAGTAACTACATTGACAAGGTCCTACATAGGTTCAATATGCAAGATTCCAAGAGAGGGTTCTTGCCTATGTCACATGGCACACATCTCAGCAATACTCAGTGTCCACAAACACAAGATGAGCGAGATCGAATGAATAGAGTCCCTTATGCTTCTGCTATAGGTTCTATCATGTATGCTATGTTATGTACTCGCTCTGATGTAGCTTGCGCTCTAAGCATGACTAGTAGATACCAGTCAGATCCAGGTGATAATCACTGGATAGCGGTCAAGAATATTCTAAAGTACTTGAGAAGAACTAAAGATGTATTCTTGGTCTATGGCGGTGAAGATCAGCTCATTGTAAATGGTTACACAGATGCTGGGTTCCAATCCGATAAGGATGATTTTAGATCGCAGTCAGGATTTGTGTTTTGCCTCAATGGTGGAGCAGTGAGCTGGAAGAGTTCTAAACAAGACACGGTGGCTGATTCTACAACAGAAGCTGAGTACATTGCTGCTTCAGAAGCAGCAAAAGAAGCAGTATGGATAAGGAAATTCATTATTGAGCTCGGTGTCGTTCCTAGTATTGTTGGACCAATGGACTTATATTGTGATAACTATGGAGCCATTGCACAAGCCAAGGAACCTAGATCACACCAGAAATCAAAGCATGTACTCAGACGATATCATCTCATTCGAGAGATAGTCAATAGTAGGGGTGGACTCGGGTCCGGGTCGGGCCTAGGCCCGGGCGGGCCGGCGGTTCAAGAATGGTGGACCCGGGACCGGGCCGGGTAGCCACCGGGTCCGGTCCGGGTCCGGGCCGGGCCGGGCCGGGCCTCCGGTTTGGATTTTTTTTTGCTTTCCTAACCCCCCCCCCCCCTCACCCCCACCCTCCCAAACCCCCCCAAACCCATCCTACCCATCAAGCCCAACCCGGGTGGAACCCCAAAAATGAAAAAAAAAATAACAAAAAAATCAATTTGGCCCGGGCCCGGGCCCGACCCGGCCGGGCCGGTTCACCAAAATTGAGACCCGAGCCCGGACCTACCCTACCCCACGGGCCTAGGCCCGACCCGGATCCGGACCCGAGAACCGGGCCGGTCCCGGTCCCGCACAGTAGCGGGCCGGGCCGGTCCACGGGCCGGGTGGCCCGACCCGAGTCCAAGCCTAGTCAATAGAGGTGACGTCAAGATATGCAAAGTACCAACAGATGCAAATGTGGCTGACCCACTCACCAAGCCACTACCACAAGCAAAGCATGAACGTCATACTAGTGCATTAGGCATTCGTTTTGTTCACGATTGGTCCTAGTGCAAGTGGGAGACTGTTGGAAATATGCCCTAGGACAATCATACTTTATGATTTATCAATGAATATTTAATGCTCATTAATTAGTAAAGTCACAAACTCATTTTATGTTAATTATTATTGTGAGTTTTCTTTATTAATATTTAGTCCCTGAATATTATGTTTAGTAGCTAATTAAGTACGTGACTTAATTTTGGAATGCTACACTTTAAAATAAGCATAATATTCTAATTGTCCATGGTCTAATATTATTAATCCGGGACATTAATAATTAATAGACCATTATGTGGATTAACTGATGACTATATTCCACTAGTCATGGGTATAGAGATATCAAGTTAATAACATAGATGCTTGTTAGTGAACAAGTTCATTGGACAGACCCAACTTGAGGACACTGCTAGGTTATATGTCATCAGTGTTGTCCTCAATAATGATGAAGTGCTATATTCTTATACTTGAGATAATCATGGTTACTTGCATGCGAATTAATATGTATTAACACCATTAAATATTATTTTTAAATGGGTATTTATAAAGATGGTGATTGTACATATTATGAACCATGTAGTGGTATGTGAATTATCAAGATAGTTTTTGTCACTCTCGTATAGCGAGAGAAAGATATCTATTGGGCCCCTTGATAAGTAAGATTAATTAGCATGGCCATGCTCAAATGAGGTGTCATTTGTTCAAAATTAATCTTACTTGGTAATCAAGAAATATTAATTGAGAATAACAAGGATGACATGACCTAACCTTGTCTCAATTAAGATATCGTTTGACAAAAGAGAATTATTAGCACAAATTAATCATTAAAAGGTTATGTCAGATTTAATTGACATTTATATATTTTGGATAGTCATAATGCCTTGCTAGAGGCCGCTTATGATTTGTGAGGCTTGAATTAATTTTTAGCCCACTGCCAATAATATATAAACCTACAGGGTCACACACCTAAGTGATTTGGATCATTAATGTTCGTTAATAACATTAAAATAGCCTGATTAGCCCAATTCGAAATAGGGTTTCGAATGGTATTAGGTTAGGGCCTCTTGGAGGGTTTTATTAGCTATAAAACTCCTTCTTTCCTCCTCTTATAAATAGGGCTATATAGACCCACGAATTTTAAGAGTTAAAATTCACTTCTAAAACCTAGAGTATAGAGGAAGAAAGAAGAGAACGCTAGCACGTTCCTTGTGGCCGATCCAATCACGTGCGTGTGGATACCGGTAGAGCTCGGGATCGTTTTCTCGGACTGTCTGACATCCTTGATTAAGATTGCTATGTAAGTCCCTCTTATATCTTGTAATTTCGTTTATAGTAAGAACCTCAGATCCGATTGTTTACTTTTGGGCAGTATTTTTTTTTTGTTTATTCCGCTGCGTTTTTCTGCCCGAAAACCAACAGTTCCTATAAAGACCT